CAGTTTTCTCTGCAGTAGGCGGGCTAAAGAAAAGGAAGGAAGTAGGACAGAATGCTGCCAAGTATCTATTTGTGTGGCCTCAGGGGCAAAATTCTACTCCTGTCTGTAACTCATACCACATTAGTAACTGGAATAGTTTTGTGGAAGTGAGAACAGAAGCTGCTTTTCACAAAAGCTTTGAAAGGGCAGGCAAAATGGAAAGAGTTAAGAGCCCTATTTTTATCAAATCACGCATAGGTCCAGGAAGAGAGAAATATGTTCACTCTTCTGCTTATGCTTCCATTATGAAATGCATGCATTTGTGAAGAAGATGATGAAAACTATGCTATAATTTAGCTTGGCAATCCTATGCATGTCTATCTAGAAGAAAGAATCATTGAGTTTGGTGGAACTTACTTCTAGGTAAATGGATATATATGACTGATTATGTGTGTTTAATTTCAAAACGTCTCCCAAAGTTCAGTATGACTCACTTCTTTGTGTATATACACCCACATGTTTCATGGAAACATGCATAGAATTCTAAAGGCCATTACAGGACAGTTGTATTGTTACAAAACCTATGGTAATAATTAAAAAACACAGAGAGATTCTAAAGTGCCCTTCTGTGATGGTGGTGATAATAATATAAATCATTGTATGTTAAATGTTAATATGCAGGATTATTCTTGATCCCAGATAGTCTTGATTTGAGATCCACAATCTGATCTCTATGTCAAAATAACATCTACACAAGTGTGATTGTAAACCTAAATAGCCCCTGAAAGTTTACTAAAATGTTTTAACTCCAACCTGCCTCCTCCCCTACAAGCCCTCACCCACAATTCAAAGTCTGCAGCAATTACAGCAAGAACAACAAAAGTCTTCCCACTGAGCTTGCCAAGGTTGACAGGAAAATGTTAACAAGCATTTAGATTTGTTTGTATGCCAGCCACCATTTAAAATGTGAGAGGATGTCATTATAGCAATAGGGTGCACATCATCAGTCAGGAATCTGGGAATCAAAACTTTTTCCCAGGAGGGTCTCTTGGAGATCTCCATGGACCTTTCCCTGCCCCACTTCTGAAATAAGCGGATCACAGCAACAGCGAATTCTCATACTTGGCATTTCCTAGAACTCTTTGCAATGTGTTTAGGCTTATGTTACCAGGTAAGATACAATGAACTGAATGTCAAGTCTTTGCTTGTCTAAGGTGTGTGACTATTTAAAAACACTAAACAGACGGACATCTTTTAAATGGAAACACCTTTCAACTTCACTGTTGCCAAAAGCTTACTGGTGGTCCAAAAGCAACATGTGTATTTCATGTACAACCTAGTGCAAGGGGAGATGCCCCATCCAAACCTTTATCTGACTGTTTCATACAGGCCCACAGTTTTATACCTTCCTAAACTTCAAGAGCAAACTGTGAATTGCATCCAGCTATCAAAGAGAAATTCAAACCTAGCTTAGCAATGCTGAAAAACCAACAGTAGGACATACTATCTGAACAGGACAAAATAAAGAAAAGATGGACACAATATAAAAAGTTACTAAGCATAAGAGATAAAGGATGACAAACTTCTTTGAGAGGAATCCTATGAAGCCTTTAAAGATCTCCCTTGTTATCCAGGGGCCTGATGGGTTTATCCAGGTGCCCTTTTCCGCTCTTCTTGGCCGGAACCATTACAGTACTGAAGAACCATTACAGTATTTTAATGTATTTTATTAATGTTGAAATGTTTCAAATGGTTTATGTACTGTTTTAAATGTTTTTATATCCCCTTGGTGAACCACCCAGACAGTTTCAGCTATGGGTGGTATAGAATTGTAATAAATAATAATTGTAATAATAATGGAGTTCCAATATTGGAAAGTGAAGTGAAAGTCACTCTGAAAGCACTTGGAAGGAATAAAGAACTCACAGTAGTCAGGATACCAATAGAACTATTATGCACTACAGAGACTGAACCAGTCCAAATTTTAACTATGGTATGTCAACAAATACGGAAAAAAACAACAGCCTGGAAATGTTCAATACATATTCCAATCCTAAAGAAAGGAGAAACAAAAGAGTGCATCAACTGTAGGACCATTGCACTAATTTCCCATGCCAGCAAAATGATGCTCAAGATGTTGCAACACAAAATATTACCCAACAAGGAGCAAGAAGTGGCTGATGTTCAAACCTGATTTGAAAAAAAGGAAGAGGCACTCTAGCTCATACCACAAATACACATTAGCTAGTGGAGTGCACTAATATTTTCAGAAGATCAGTTTATGCTTTATAGACTATACAGCAAGCCTTTGACTGTCTGGATCAGAACACACTATGGATGGTTCTAAAAGAAATGGGCCCATCCTCAGTACTTCATTGTTCTGATGCATGGCCTGTATTGTGTACAAAAAGCTGCTGTTAGGACAGAATATTGAGAATCAGAATGGTTTCCTATAGGCAACGCCATCAGACAAGGGTGTATTTTATTTCCTTAGCTACTCAAATGGTACACAGAACGTATCATTGGGAAAGCTGGACTAGGATCAGAAAAAGAAGGGCTCAAAATTGCACAAGAGACATGAATAAGATATACAAATGATACCATACTACTGGCAGGAAGGAGCAATAACTGAAATGATTTCTGATGAAAGTGAAGGAAAAAAGTGCAAAGGCAGAACTGCAGTTGAACAATAAGAAAGCAAAAATCAGGAGAATCACACAACTTTTAGTGTCAACAATTAAGATACTGAAATTGTGAATGATTTTGAATACTTTGGCTTAGCTATCAATTCAAAAGGAGCCTGTGGCCAAGGAAATAGTAGACTGAGACTTGGAAGGGCAGCAATGAAGGAAGATTCAAATACATTATTATGATGTTACATTTCTTTACTGCTTGTAGCTGAAACGTTCTCGGTGGTTCGCAACACTTTAAGTCACCCATCCAGGTTTACAACCAGGCCCAACCCTACTTAGCTTCCAAAATTAGGCAGGATCAGGCACTTCAGGCTACATGGAAGCTAAGGATTAAAATATTAGAGTCCAAGGCCAAGTTCATTCACACTACTGCATTCCTGATCACTTTGTACATGCTGAAAGCTGGAGAGTGAAGAAAGCCGATTGGAAAAATAATGATGCATTTGAAACATGGTGCTGTATATTTTTGTGAATATAAAGATGAACAAGTGGGTCCTAGATCAAACCAAGTCAGAACTTTCTCCAGAAGGAAAAATGACAAAGAGAGTGAAAAGCAGAAGACAACAAACTAATGGATGGATGGATTCCATTAAGGAAGCCACAGTCCTGAGTTGTGGCTTGAGCTGAGCAGGGCTTTCTGATAAGCCATTCTGGAGCATATTTATTCATAGGGTAGCAGCTTTAAAGACTATCATCAAAGACAACAGTACATCCAATGGTTTGGGGTTATGAAGCTGTAGTCCAAAACATCTGGAGAACCAAATTGCCTATTCTGGCTTTAAGCAATAGATACACATTAGTTTGCTTTTCCTGTATTGTTCAGAAAATCTCCAAAGGGGAACTGATTAAAAAAAAACAATTTAGGGTTCAATCCTATGAGTAAATCCTTGAAAGCAAATCCAATGGAAACCCATGGGATCTACTTTCCTGCAGACATTGCTACATTTTTCATTGATGGAATTCCTTGCTTTGCACAGAGACCCTTTTTCTTAATCTTTCAGATTCTTTTTTAATCTCTGCCCAATAACCAGACTGAACAAAATACAATGTGGTCTTTTATAAGATTCAGTCAGTGGTCCTAATCACATTTACTTGCAAGAAGGTCCCATTAATTTCACTGTGACTTATTTCAGTGTTCACATTATAGAATTGCATGTTTGATTGCTGCATGCATCTCTGAAGGCTTAGTTCTAAAACATGCACAATCCTAAACATGATGACTTTGCATATGTGCAGAGTATGTACACCACATTATTGAGAGATGTCTCATATTAGGCACAAAAACCACAGCCAAGCATGATTCTGAAACCAGTCTGCTGCATAAAAAGGTAAAAGTTTCCCCATGACATTAAAGTCCAGTCATGTCTGACTCTTGGGGGTGGTGCTCATCTCTGTTTCCTAGCCGAGGGCGCCAGCGTTTGTCCGCAGACAGTCTCCGTGGTCATGTGGCTGGCATGACTAAACACCGAAGTGCATGGAATGCTGTTACTTTCCCACCAAAGGGGTACCTTTTTATCTCCTTGCATTTGCATGCTTTCGAACTGCAAGGTTGGCAGGAGCTGGGACAGAGTACGGGAATTCACCCCGTCTGCGGATTCAAACTGTTGATCTTTTGATCAAACAGCCCAGTGGCTCAGCGGTTTAACCCATGCTCGATAATCATCAAGAATTGGCATCCAGGACATGTGATTTCCTTTGCTGTCAGTATCACTACCCTGCAGTGTGATATTTTATGGTCCTAATACTTGCTGCAAATAAAGTAGCTGCCACTCACAGATAATCAGAGTACTTACAGCCTATTTGCTAAAACCAAGGGCCCAGGTGGCGGTGTGCATTTCATTCTTTCTGAATTCTGCCCCCATCCATATGTTCAAACTTTATGGGGCTTCCTTTAGACTGAGAGCTGAACAGTGCTACACAGAGACTGCTTCCAAATCAGGCTTTTATCGTGCCTCACACTTCTGCCTCTCACACAGAGAATGTTATGGAGGCAGTGTTAAGGATACAAACAAGAAGTCCAATTAGTAGCCCTCTGAGGTTTCCCACCAGTCCCTCCATCCCTTTCCTCACTAAAAGAAAAAAGTTGAGGAAAAGACAGGTGCACAATGCCTTGTGACCATGAGCCCAAGGAATGGGTCCTGGTTTGAAGCATCCCGATTTTTGAAAGAGGCATGGCAATTCCTCCCAAACAGTCTGCAGGCCAGGCACGGAACCTACTAGTAATCGCACTGGCCCGCTAGATGCTCCCCTGCTGGGCTCTCCTGCAAAAGCAAGGGAACGCATCCCCCGCGGGAAAGTGGCGGAAGCCGAAGGCAAGTGAAACTCTACCTGGGCGTGGAGGAGCGCTCGGGCGCCCCCCGATGGCCTCGCGCCGGCCGCCCTCCTCGCCGCTGAGCGGGTACGCGAGGAGGTCCATGGCCTCGCCGCAGGCAGCCTCCACCTGGCGCACCTGCTCGCGGCTGAGGCGCTCCCGCCAGGCGTGGACGGCTTCGCGCGCGTCGCGGGCGGAGATGAGGAAGGGCCGCTCGGAGGAGTAGGCGGCGCCGCGCGTCATGTTGAGCACGAAGTCCTCGAGGGCGGCCGGCGAGGGCAGGTCGGCGAAGCGCAGCAGGCGGCGCAGCGTGGCGCGCGGCTCCAGCACCAGGTCCTCGTAGCGCAGCTGCGTGTAGCGGGCGCGCAGCCAGTCCGGGGCGCGCCGCGCCAGCAGCAGGTCGCGCAGCCAGGCCTGGCAGATCACCTCGAGGGCGCCGCCCAGAAAGAACTCCGCGCGGTGCTGCTGGTGCGCCCGGACGCCGCCGACGCCGGCCAGGGCCGCGGCTGCGGGCGGCAGCAGCAGCTGCCGACGGAGGAGTCCCCGGGGCTCGGCGCGGTGGCGGCTCCGCAGCACCTGGATGCTCTCCCGGAGCAGCGACTGCTTGGCCTTCAGGCGCGAGTTGTGCACGGCGCGCGGGTCGCGGAAGAGCTGGACGACGCGCAGGTCCAGGTCGGGGTCGCGCAGCAGCGGCAGCAGCGCGCCCAGCTCCAGCAGCCTCACGTCCTTTATCACCATCACCGGGTACTTGCGGCACTCGGCCTCCAGCTCCCGCAGCGCCCGGGGCGGGCAGCTCTGCTCGCAGGCGGCGCCGTCGACGAGGCCCACCTCGGCGCGGGGCCGGGGCGCGTCGGGGCACAGCGGCGCCGAGCAGATCACCTTGTTGGTCCGCCAGCCGAAGATGCTGGCCGTGCTGAGGTTGCGCGGGCTGCCCTCAGGCGCGGCGGCCGGGAAGAGCGCGAGCGGGTCGCGGGGGCCGGGCGGCGACGCGTACAGGCGCAGCACGGAGAAGTCGCAGCGGAACAGCGAGCGCATCATGTCCCGCAGCGCGCCCTGCAGGCTCAGCGCGTCGCCCGGGTAGAGCGCCTGCCACAGGTGCCACATGGGCTCGTACAGGTAGAACACGTCCGGGTGCTGGTTGAAGAGCTCGCCCAGGAAGGACGAGCCGGTGCGCCAGGTGGCGTGCAGGTAAATGTGCCGCTTTCCCCCCGCGCGGCTGCCCGGCCCGGCCGCGCCCGTCGTCCCGTTCGGCGCCGCGTCCGGGCCGGCCGCCGCGGCTTCGGCGGGCGGCGGCGGCTGCTGCTGCTGCTGCCGCTGCTCTTCCCAGCCCCAGTCCCCCAGCGCCTCCGCCAGGCTGGGGCAGCGGCGGGGCAGCAGCAGCTCCTCGCCCGCGCGCCCCCTCCCGCCGGCTCCGTAGTCCAGCAAGTAGGACACCAGCAGCAGGAGCAGCAGCGTGTAGAGCGCCAAGCCCAGCGCGAAGCGCCGGTGCTGCCAGCGCCACCTCCAGCGCCGCCGGCCCTTCATCGCGCTCCGGCCACGCCTGCGAGGCTGCCCAGGCCGCCGCGGCTGCAGCGGCGCAAGTCGGGCGGGCGCTCGTGCCTGTTTTCAAAAACACGCACAAACTTGGGGAGGGGAGGGGAGGGAGGGAAGTGGCCGCCGCGCCAGCCGCGCCTACCCCGCTTGGGAACACGCCCACATGCCGGCGAGAGGCGACGGGGCGGGAAGCCCGGCCTTTCTTGCAACCCTGGCGGAGGCTGCCGCCGCCCGGCGTCGATGGCGACGTCTTCCCCGCCGCTGAGCGCTACAACTCGGTGCACCTTTGCCGGTGAGCAAGTCCCGGCCAACTCGGCGAGGCAAGTTTCCACGCACAGCGCAGGATCGCGGCGCGCTCGTGCGCCTCCCCTCTCCGCGCTGCAGCGGATCCCCGCAAAACCTGCCTGCGAGTGAACTGACAGCGGCCAGGACTTCTCAGCCAGCTTGTGCAGGAAGCGAACGGTTATCTGTTTTCTGTGATGCACGCATACACCCGCCCAAAACAGACGTGTAGTTGCGGGGAGGGAATTGCAAAAAGGAAATTAGGAGAAGGCCTGCAGGGTCCCCGAGGAGGCTGGTTGCTATAGCCCGTGGCTCTAGCTCTTGAGAATGACGCTTGTCAGCAAGACTTCGGGCTACAGCTCCTGGAGTCATCTGGCTGGTATTCTGAATACACCTGGAAATGAATCAGCAGCAAACGCCTGTTAAAGGGTCTCTAACTGAAAACCTTTCAAATATATTTTGAAGCAGCTGGAATTTCTGGACACACTTTCAATAGACCAGCCTTGCCCAGCTCTCCAGAAGTGGTGGATTGCAACCCCCATCAACCCCAGCATGGCATCAGTCAGGGATGATGGCAGTCGTAGAGCATTGCATCTGGAGGGCAGCTTGTTGCGGAAGGCTGTGACAAAGCACACTGCACAGTAATGCAGTATCACTGTCTTCTGAGGTTTGTACTGGCATGACTGGAACCATCTCTCCCAGGGAACTACCAGTTGAAAACTGGGCAGAAATGCTCTTGGAGACTGCCAGTACCCGAAAGTCTGAAAGTAGCTCTGAATCCAAACATTCCCAACCTGCAAGCCTTGTCTAGGTAGGCTGGGCCCTTAAAACTGTTCTGCTGACCAGAAATACTAGGTATGGCTTCATGCCATCCAGTGGCAGCTGCCTGGAATAATGGGCATAGACACATCCCCCAAATGTCTTAGAACATATAGGGCAGCAGATGCCAGCATGTAATAAAACACAATAAGTGCAACACTAACTTGCTGTGAAAGTAGTGTTTTTTACAACTTCAGAATCAACTAGAAAAGGAATGTGAACATTTTTATTTTGGTGAATGTGAGAAATAGTCACTATTTTAATTCTTTACTTTGAGCTTGTGCAGACTTAATCCTGGCTCTGTTAAAATCAGTGCTAGTGGAAACTTGAGCAAACGGTCCTCAATGGGAGCAGAGTGTAATAGATGTGTGTACAAAAGAGCTTCTCACTTTCTCACATTCTCTTTTTAAATTAGTAACACATTTTATTAATTTGGAGCTAACCCATTTGGACCTGGAAAATCCCAAGGGCTCAGCAAAATGAAACACATACAATCTTGCAAGTACTTTATAGCATCCTAAATCCCAACCACATGTTTTTTAAAGCTCTGGAGCTCTTTTGAACTATTTCAGGCCATGAGGCATAGGACTACAAAGAATAGGGTATAGCTGCCATTTCTATGATACTTACACCACTCTTGTACAAGCTTGTACCTTCCAGATACAAGTATGTTGGACCACCCAGTATAACCACTGGAAATGAAGGCGATGGGACCTGGCATCTGAAAGCCACCATTTACATCCCACATTAATTCTTCTGCAGAGTGACTTTCTCAAAGTTATCTTCTTTAATAAAAACAACAAATATACTCTGTGTCAAATACTTGCACTTGCTCTTGCCCACATCATGTGAACACTTACGTGGGCAGTGGATTGTCTGTTACAATGAAATACAAGCTGTATTCTGTAGATGTTTTGCTTTGGACATACCCCCACTGAAGACAAGGCAGTTTTGATAGGCTTAGGACATTTAGCTTCCTTGATCTTATATGCTTACAACAAGCTAGTCCACAGAAATATTGCCTGTAAGACCCCCTCTGTTGTTGACCTAAGATAATAGTCAACATGGGATCTACAGTGAAAGAATATAATGTTTATTTATTTATTTATTTGGGATACCTGTATTCTGCCCCATTCGCATAAGGCTCGGAGCGGCTTCCAGCAAATAAATAACAATACAAAAATATAAAAATTGGACACATCCAGGCAATAAATAATTTAACAATTAATTAAAATAACATTTAAATAAAAAGGTCTTGGCCTGGCCGACGGAGCCAGGTGGACCTCTCTGAGGAGCGCATTCCTATCTCCAGAATCCTATTTGATGAAAAATGCAGGGGGCCGGATGCACTTTTCAACCAACTGAGGTTTGGCACAGTTTTGTCTCCTCCTCATTACCACCACTAACCAATTCATGTGGTGGTACAGAAGGTGGAATCTGAGATATAATGGAAAGAACCCACTGTTCCAGAACAGAAAAGTAATGGCAATGCAGTGATGAGTACAGTTATCAACAACTGAATTGCACCGTGTGTCAACAGTGCAGCTTTACGTCTCCGTGAAGCTTCTATAAACATCAGCAAGACTAGAGCATTTGTCAGTTTAAAACTGCACCTAACACATAGCAGCAGCAGCAGCAGCCAAGGCTGAGATGAAAGGCAGGCTTCCCAATACAAACACTATAGAACGGCTTCCTTATTTGATGGTCATGTTGCAGCAATTATTTTGCCTTTTGAAAGACTCTTTAAACTCTACTTTATATATCCCTTGGGTATGCCTTGCAGGCATGGCTCTCTCATGGTTTGAGCAAGGAATTGTCTGGAAGAACTACAGAAGAACTGGAGTAGGCATGTGCTCACAGAGAAGGGATTGGCATTTATTTCAGTGGTTTGTGGCAGAGTGTGTACTCTCAAGCATCTCTCATATGAAAGATAGACATTTTCCTTCAAATATTCAGCTAAAAGTTGCTGAATGTATTGCAGATTCCCACTTCTCATAAACTGCCCAATCAGCCCCAGAGCTGCAATTAACACCATACACTTAGTGTACAATTCTATGCAAGTTCAGACAAAAAAGCCTTACCGCTCCCAACATGACTGTCTGGGACATACTGGAAGTAGTAGGCCTTTATTTTTGGTTTAAACTTGCATAGGATGGCACCTTTAATTTACAGATATGCTCCATTAATGGAATGATAATCATGCTAATTCTAATATGAGTGTACAAGAGGGGAAATGGTCAGCACTGGATGAATGGAATAAAAAATCAGGAAGACTCTGATCTGACAACTTCCCAGAAACAAACATGCTTGAAAAGAGGAGTCCTACATGACTATGAGAAGTTGAGAAATGAATGTGTATGATAATTTGAAGTGCCTGATCCTGCCTAATCTTGGAAACTAAGTAGGGTCAGCACTTGTGGAAATCTGGATGGGTGACTTGAGTCCTGCACTGAGCAGGTGGCTGGACCTGATGGCCTGCTGCGCCCCTGCCAACTGTATGATTCAATGAGTCCATGTTAAATGTAAGCTTTTCTTATGTTAATAATGTGCTTGCATTGAGGTGGAATCTAGCTGTGCTTGTCCATTATCAGGATAGGATTTTGATGGACTCTCCTTCCTCCAAAAGCTTTAGAGTGCTGGGACCCTGGGAGCAGATTCTGGGTCTGGAAGGCGAGGAGGGATTGGAAATCCTATTGTGTAACTAGCAGGTAGAGGAAAAGCCATCCATGGGGATCAGTCACAGGCCCATCTGGCCTAGCATTCTGTTCACACAGTAAGCAATCAGCTACAGTGGAAGCCTACAAGCAGAACTTGAGTGCAGCCCATGTTCTCCAGCAGCTGCTGCACACAGGCCTATGGCCTCACAGGTCCATTTGCATGATACTGGATTTCACCCATTGAAAGTACAATTTTTGGAACTTAATAAAATGTAGTGGAAAGGATATTAAAGCCATCTAATTCATCCTCCTGCAATGAGATAGGATTTTCTGTACCAGGGGTGCGGACTCTGTGGTTTCCCAAATTAAAGGACCTTTCATTTAAAGACTGAGATCCTCTCTCTCCGATGATCACTTAGCATTGCCTATTATTATTAGATTAGGGAAACTAAGGGCTTAGCAATGTTGAAAAAAAATCAACTGCAATCAGCTTTTGAGCATGGCATAGGAAAGACAAGAATCTCGTTCTTCGCTTCAGGCAGCAGAATGTCCCAGGCAGTCTGGAGTCCAAAACATCTGGAAGACCAAAGGCTCTCACCTGTGGTACACCCAACAACTTCTCAGTCTAAGCTGTTGCATCTGCATTACAAAATCCTGCAAATGTGATGGCTGGAGTAAGCAAGGCCCGCCAAGTGATAGCAAGAGGTTAATGCGAGGTATTTTTTAAAAAATGAATGTTATCTTTTCAGATATAGGGCCGCAGACAATACTTGTTCCTTTATGCCAGCAGCCCTGGTTGCATAACACCTAATAGAGTTTAACCCAATTACGGGTGCAATTCTAGGTATGTTGAGAGAGAAAAAAGGCTTACGATTCCCCCTACAAGCCATGGTTGTCTGGGGCATGCTAGGCGTTGTAAGCCTTTTTTCTGTCTCCACATGCATAGGATTGGTCCTTAAATATAGTTTCCTCCCACACTCCATGCAAAGGCTGACTAAAGCCTTGACATCCAGTCAGCCCTCTCTCCCTCTCCGGCACACACACCACCCTCCGCATTGCTGTTTTTCTTACCATCCTGAGCAGCCTGATTAACTGCTGTGTGGATTCAAACACTCGCTTATTGTTTCGTGACATTTGGGTTGGTTGTCATAAAGGTATTGCTCAGCTGTGGATTTTGAAATTATAATGCATGGCAGCACAAACTGTGGAAAAGAGCTTTGAAAGGAAATGATG